CCTTGTGTCATGCACGGTAAAGGGTACCTAGGGTGAGAGGGTTAATGAGCTGCTGGAATAATCAGAAATACTTGGTAAATCAGTTTAATTGTAATTTTGATAATCCCTTAGTTTATATAACACTAATGATGTAATTGCTGCTTGTAGGTAGTGAGTTATATCAATTAATAGATTAAATTACCCAGATGTGTAATTATACTTTTTGTTTACACACACACACACACACAAAATATGACAGTCAATTTACCTGGATCTTACTGTGAACAAAAACAATTGTTGCATTATTTCCATTAGTTTTTTTACTCTGTGTGGGACTGATGGTCTGTGAATTAAAAGGATATGTATATTTGCATATTTTTGAACATTTGTGTGTGTTTATATGGTAATTATCTACAGATTAATTTTCAGGAACTTGCTTGGTTTCATAGAAAGCTCCCTGATTTGTAAGAGTAAACACTATTGTCCTGGGTATCCTGCATTATAAACTGTACACCCATGTGCCGCCTGATTGGAATTAAACTAATATATATATGTGGTTTCATAGCTCTCCTCGGCCTGTTTTGGTTGAGCCACTAGAACAGAGAGATGAAGAAGATGGGCTTCAGGAAAAGACTTTTGTGAAGAACAGCAAGCAGTACCAGAAAGAGAGAGACATTGGTCCCAGATTGGCAGAACCAGGTTCTTTTGAGTACGAGTATGCAATGAGATGGAAGAAATTGTATGATTTGGAAAAGCAAAAGAGAGAGAATCTGGAGAAGGAGATTTTAGAAGCAAGACAACAATTAGAAGACCAAATGGACTATGCATTTTATGAACATGAAACAAATATGCTGCGAGAAAGTGAGTAACAACTTACAAAATTAATTCTTGCAGGTATATACTTTTTTTGCTAAAGGTTTTGTCTGACACTGATTAAGAAAACTTAAACTGACCTACTGCTTTCAGATTTAGTTCTTGAATTAGAATTTTCTTTGCAAAAAACAAATGTGCTTTTTTATGTAACCCACTAATTATTGAAGAGCAACTGTGTATTTCCAAATAAACATAGCACTTTTAAATCCTTAGTGATGTACATAAGCTCAGTTAAGTAAAATCGAATACATATATTAGTCAGGTGAGAGTTGGTAATTACAGCTTGTTTTGTTTACAAGTCATCAATTTGTGTATAATCATTAACTTTTGGATTTCATTACAAATTCCTACTCAAAATATTCTTTCTCTTAACTTTGGTAATGGTTTGTTAGGAGTAGAAACAAATGTTTTGAACACTGGCAAATTTTTGTCAATTACTTTAAAACTTACTTGATATAATCAAATTATACATCTGACTGTGACAATTACAGTTCTTAATATGAAATTTAAAGATAATATATAGAAGCTGAACACTTGGTATTTAAATTTGGAGAACCTACTTAAAGATCCTATGAATGCTGTAAAACAATGTACAAGGAAAGGCTTATCAACATATTATTGTAGTGTGGTTTTTCCCATAAGCTTTGTCTCCCCTTTGATATAGGGATTTGATATAAGCTTGTTATGGGGCAAAATGAGATAATTATACTGTTGAGATCACATGTGCATTTCTGCAGCTGTACTTAAGCCAAACTCAAATTCTGATTCAAATATTTAAATATTTCAAATAGAAAAGATACAAGGTTCGTATTTTATAATTTAGCCTGTCAATATCAGTAATTTGAGTTCCTAATTTGTACAAAACTATAAACTTGGTATTTTGACATCACAAACATCTAATTTGAACCAGTGCTGCATTCCACATGACACACAAAAATTGATGTTTAAATGTTTTTTAATACTTACTTTTAAACTAAGAAATGGAATAATGTATAATACTAAAATCTGAATTATAATCTACAGTTTGGTACCAAATTTATCGACATAAATTCATGAAATGGTTGTTTAATGAAATTTTGAATGCGAGTCTGTAAAGGGTTAAAAAGTGAAAATGCTATCTTTTTTTAAATAAAAATCCAGAATTTTCATATCACCCACTAAAGTTGGTAATGTAATAGCATTTGCTAAGTTTACAATTTCATTGCTTCTGTTTTTACAAGTTCTGTTATATTTTTATATATTCCTTAGCATTCTCATAAGCATTTTTGTGAAAAATAAAATAAAATTCAGAATATTATTGTCTGATCTTTAGCTTTATACAGAAAGATTTTTTATATATATATATATCTAGAGCTCCGTCACATGGAAGAACAAAGCAACATTATTCAGAGGGAAAGAGAAATGAGGTAAGTTATTATGCACTTTACTTTTACCCAGAAGCTATTATTAATAATTATATCATCCTTTTTCATTTTAAAATTTTTTGTCACTTTGAGATTATATCTTTATTTTTTATTTTTTTTAAACTTGAATTTTGGGCTTTTATTTTTGTCAGGCGGGAAGAAGAAAGACGACGTGAAGAGCAGAGAAGACAGGAAGAAATGATGATACGTCAGCAACAGGAAGAACTTTTACGCCGTCGAACTGCTGAGGAGATGCGACGCATTAGAGAAGATAACTTAATGTTGCAGGTCTGTAGTTTCTTACATGTAAAGAACTATTTTAATAATTGTTTCAGAATGTTTATTTTTCTTGGATAATTTTATGAATGAAAAGGGGTGGGCATAGTAAAGTTTGTTGTATTTTAAAGTTTTTAAGTAGCCTTATAGATCTTACTGATGGCATGTTGGTAAAAAATTTAAGAAATAATTTGCATATCAAAGTACCAAAAAAAATTATAGAATATAAATTTAAGCAAATTCTAGACAAACATTTCTTGAAGGTCGTCTACTTTTGCTACATGCATGAACAAAGATGTATAGACTAACTGGGGGAAACAGTGTATCAGGTAACTAATTTATCATTAATGCAAAGGTAGATTAATAAGATGGCAGGAAAATGCCAGGTTTTTAGGAAAATATTGACTTCATTTTCGTTAAGTGGAAGAGCTTGAAGTTGTAAACAAAGCAATAAGCACTTTGTAGTGATGCACCATTTTTGCATATCGAGGCTGTTGGGTAAAAATGCTTAATGTGGGTGTATGTCATTACATGACTGCTGCTTTTTAAACTTTCTCATCTTTGATGGCTTCACTACAGTCCTAGTAGTCATTATAATGCGTTGGAAAAGACAAGTTCAACAGATATGTCAATGTATTTTATAGAAAAAATTTAAAAATATGTAATGAATGTAATAATAGTTGGAGAGTTGGGGTTTTAAAGTTCTTTAACTTTATTTTTATGTATTGTTTAGGCTTAATGTAATTTAAATTGAAGTCCCTTAACATTATTAAGATGGTGTATCTGACTCAAATTATCATTTTCATTATAATGACCAGCACAATACGTTCGTCATTAGTTCGATAAGTTTTGATACATTGAATCTTCCATTAAATCCAGTTCAATATGCATAAAGAGCAATAAAATAGGCAATTGTTATGCATACTTTGTTTCATATGATGAATTGGTGATAATTAATAATAACAGGAACTAGTCATTTTTCATTAAGTAAATATTTTGACTACTCAGAATATAAGGCAGACTGGCACCTTTCAGATTCAAGTGTATAAATTCAGTGTTAGGTAACACTGATCTTTGTTTTAATCAATATAGGACAACAAAGACTTATGTAAATAACAATGTTATAATCATTGCTGTAGCTTGCCAAATCTGGATATTTGAATTATAGATCATGTTCTGAAAGTGCCATGTAATGTTCTAAGAAGTTGTAAGGGTATCTTACTGTTTGAAGTGCCTAAGAATAATTGAATACTGATTATTATATTCTTCAGGAGTTTTTTTTTGGTTTTTTTTCTAAAATGTATCAAACCATTTTGGGGTTAACCCTTTAAACGTGGGTGGATGAAATTACCATCTGCTTGACTAGGGAAGGACATTTATGCAACAAAAATATAACTGTGCATTCCTCATAAAACCTTGTAAGATTTTGTTAGTTTATAAGTATTTTGTACACAAAGAATGACATTAGTCTAATTGTGTCTTTCTAATAAAAATGTTATTGATCTATAGTAGTAGTCTGCACTCAGACTGTTAAAATAGTACGAGTTAAATGTGATTTTCATTTTAAGTATAAAAATACTTTTCTTCATCTTATATTTTTCATATTTCATTTGCTTAACCTCTAGAACCTCCTATATGAATATCAAAAGTTGTTAAAGGTAAATGTTAATATTTTATTTTTCATTTTCTTTACCACATCACTAACTAGCTATTATCATGAATGTATGATGCAATGAAGCGATTAAAATTAGGAAATAAAAAACAAACAAACAAAAGAAAACATACTTGTAGAATATTTTTAAAGATGTTGTTTTGCGTATATTAATAATTTTGGGTCTTTTCTTTTTCTTGTTTTGTTTTCTATTCTTTTCTGTTGCCATTTATGCATCTTGACACAAGTCAATGGTGCCCTCAAGGCATATTAGTTTCTTTAGATGATATCTTAAGCTTTGAGAATGGATACAAAGTATGTGTATTTTAAAAGTTTTTTAACTTTTTAATTATGCATTTTTAAGCACAACTAATACATAATTAACAAATATAATAGTAAGACCTAAATACAGTTTAAACTGTATCTCTAACTATAACATATTTAGGTAAGAGACAACTATAAGTGCCGTAGTCAATCAAACAGCCAACCATACTATAGTCAATTTCGTGTACTTCATGATGACAACTTGGTGCCAATTTTAAAATAACCATTGTTAGATTATAGTGTAAAATGAGTTCTTTCTAATAGTTATATACATATGTATGTAACGTTAACATGGAGGCTATAAAGCTCCAACAAATCTATTGAAGGTGGGTGTGGCAACTGTCAGGTTTCAATTGTATTTATTCAGAGAACTTCCAAATGAGTGAGCCAAAAAGTTATGTAAGCAATTTATTGTCTTGATGTGCCTCTACTCAACTACCATTTTATTACTGAAGATACAGAGAGCCAAAGGAATTTTCATAGCTTGTTGATCACATGACATTATTTCTGAAGTTTTAAGTAGTTTTTTAAAGGTTTCTTTTGAAATAAAGGATTAAAACTTAGATAAGATAAAGCTTCAAATCATATCATACATTGTTAATTTCATTCAAATACATTAATATTAAAGGTGTTTAATTAGATTTTGAATGTAACACAGTGATTTGTGAACAAAAGGGTTTAAAGGGATACCTATTGCAAAAGGGTTAATCTCTACAGTCAACTAAAATTGTCTAATAACTGTACCATTTTTTCTTTTTTTTATATATCTAGCAGAATTCTCACCAGGGGTTGTTCAAAGTGTACATGTCACAACCTTTTGAATACTTGCATTCAAAATGTTATTAAACTACTTTATTATCATTGTATACAAATAAACTTGGCATCAAAACATTGTTAATGAATCAAATTTTAATATTATATAAAGTTTAAGTTCTTATTAATGTTGTAAGGAAACATTAAAAAAATGCTCAGTCTACTATGAGAATCATTACATTTGTTCTCTAGGTCTTTCCTCTTCTTTAATTTATCACCCCTCTGAGAAATATGAAATTTAATGTAAATTACTTATTACCTTATAGATATTACTAAGGCAAAGCATAACTTTTTTATAACCTTCAATCTTTTTTTATGGAGCCATGAACTAGAAAATCAGACCCATTTGTCATGCCCACATGTCATCTTCTCTTTCATAAATTGCTAATAGCTGTCTGATATTTTCTACGTTATTTATAACCAATAGAAAGCCAAAGTTGTAATCTATCAAATGTTTTCTGTATAGAGCATTGTCTATTTCTCCTACAATTTGAAAATTTTCTCTTGCAGTACTCGCATCAATAAGCTTAGCTAAATTTTTAAAGGATCTTATTACTTAGTTAAAAAGTAAGGTAAATTGTGATAGTTATAGGACATTGTGTGTTATTTTTCTGTGTTCTTAGGTGCATTATTTAATTCAAAATTTAATATACATAGTACCATTAGTATAGAACATGTCGGCAACCTGTGGCTCTCAGGCTATCTACTGTGTCCACTGAGGGGAATTGAACTCCTGATTTTAGTGCTGTAGACAAAACCAATAAAATGGCTATACTTCTTTGAAGGATTGCTAACCCCTGTTATAGGGAAAAAATAATAAAAGTAGGCTTAACTTTCATCAACAGTCAACAGCAAGGAGCCAGGTGAGTAACATATTTCTTACTTTTTGGGTATATTCTTTATTTATTATTATAAAAGTAACTAAAATGTAAAAAATTAAACTTCTTAGGTAAGATAATGAAAAAATAATTCTTGACGAGCAGCTTGTGTTGTATGTAATTCAATACAGTAACTTGAACTACATGTTTGCCATGTAATGTACAACTTGTATGGCAGGATTTAGTTAAACACGGGTCAAAGGGGCATTAAAAAAAATTAAAGAATAAACATGTTTTAACAGATTAACTGTTGCAGTGCTTGAATCATCTATGCTGAGTGCTTTTAAGAATTTTAGTGCAATATCCTTGTGTTTTCAATTTAAACAATAGTAACAATAACAGATCTAAAGCAGGTACCCTTTACATGTATTTATGATTGTGAGCACATGCAAACGATTGCTAAATGCGTGATTGTGTGTCCTCAGCAGTGAACATCTTAAGTTATTTAGGATAAACAGCTATAGTTTCCTGTTACAGTTTGCAGTTATTATAGAGAGAAAAAGGTTTATTTTGTATTTTTGTTATGGTGGTAACAAGGTTGGTCAAATTGACCCAATGCGTGTCAAGTCAGAGTAGAGAAAATAAAGTTTTACAGTAAAAAAACATTTTATATTTATTTTGGAGGTTTTAGAGATTACACGAGTGAAACTCGACAATTTTCAGGTAAAAAAGGTTTTTAATCTTGACATGAAAATCACTTTGTGCCCTAAGCAGTCAACACGTTGACTCTATGTATTCACAGACAAATTTTTTGTAAAAGTACTTAATATTAATGAAAATTGATTTTTTGTGTACAAGTGACTTGTAATGTTTACTGAAAGCTTGCCAAATTTCATAGATATAGGCGAAACATATTAAAAGCTACAGTATGGAAACTGGTCACTTAGAGGGTTACAAACTCAGTCAAATCAATTGAACTGGTAGCAAGAGGCTTAAACTTGATCATATTTGCATAATTTGACACTTAGTTGTGAATTTATTTTCAATTGTTTGTGTTCTCTAACTTAGCTATGCAAGCAAAGTGAGTAGGAGAATTTCATGGAATGTTTGTTTAGCTAGAAAATACTTTTTAACAATCAATAAATAGTTTCATTATGTGTTCTTAATACATTCAGTAGTATCTATATTGAATGTCTTTGACTAATGCATATTCAAGTATTATCTGATGTTTAACTGATATTGTAAGGGATAAAACAACAGATATGATTCTTAATTTACATAATACTCTTAATTTATATATATTAAATTGCTAACAATTGAACGTTTGGCTCAAGATTATAAACAGCCAATAAAACATCAAATTGTTTGAAAAAACACAACATTAAAAAAAGATCATGAATGAATTGTTGTGATAATTTAAACTTTGTGTATTTTATGTTATTTAGAGTAATTTATCTTGAGTCAAACAAACTTGAATGCTAAAGCTTTGTGAACATCGAAAAAGTGCCACAGCTGATTATTAAGAAACTAAAATATTCTCTGAATGCTTAGCAGCAGCAAAAATTTGTTATGTTGTGTTGAATTTACTCACACTTTTTTATTTTTTCATGTGTAGAAGTTTCAGCATTCTTGTCTTAAGTTCTGAATTATAAAGCTTAATCATAATGTTGCCTTCATGTTGTTATTCAGTCTTATTATAAAAAAAACTTACTGCTTATTTGACGGATCCTCAAATAATTTATTGAAAAGTAAGCCCTGTTTTACACCACCCCTCAAAAAAAGAATAATGAACTTTTTATTTATCTTTTAAAATTTATATGTAAAACAATATCTTGAGTTACATTTGAAAAGTACAAGTGAGTATAAAAACTTTTTTACAACTGGTTTATCATCATCAGAAGTTTTATATATAGGTGATACTAAACCAACTTATTTCAACCAAACATTTATTGGTGTAAAAGTTACTTGGAAAAATTTAACGTTTTTAACTGGCCACTAAAACATTCTTGCGAAGCAACGTATATTTTTACAGAGAAAATTGAGATTTTTTTATTAAACTGAAATCTAACTAAAATAGAATGAATTATGACTGAAGGTAATCCAAGCATTAAAATTGTTTTTGTATTGTCTGTTTTTTTTTGCGAGAGAGTTTTGTTTCATGGTTTTATGTGACTCAATTGTTTTTAGTTATAAGAAACATTAATTTTTTAGCAGGGTCCGACAATAAGTTTCTGATAATAAAATATAAGCATGATTAGTTCTTGTGTTCTTTTTTAATTTTTCATTGATATTACAAATTTCAGTACTTTCACAATCAAGATTCAACAATGAAAGTGAGTTGCAGTTTTCACTTGTTTTTTTTTTTTAACATAAGATTCGGGTAGTTTACACTAAATCATAAACTTGCAACAGCACTTTGTCATCAAAACTCTTAGGCTTAAAAGCTAATTAAAATAATATATTAAAGTAAATTGCTCTGCTGTGTATAAATAATTTTTACTTTTACACTATATAATGCATATAAATGTATAAATTATGTATATTAGTTTTTTACCAATGAAAGGGGTATTGGCATTTGAGTATGATGCTTGTTAATCCATTCGTTTTATAATAGTTTTTTATCCTTAAACATTTCTAAAAAAATTTAAATATGAACATTACAGAATTATGGATCATAGGAACACCTGATAAGATATTTAGTAACGACTTCATGCTTTGTTACTTACTGGAAATGTACTAGTTTTTGATGCAACTGTAAGAGTGGATTTTGTCATCTATAGTTGACTTGTAATGTATGGAGAATTATTATTGAAATAATTTCTTATAAACCAGCATTTATTAGTTATTTATTTTTGGTTGCATAATAGGCTTATTTTCTAGTAGTATATGGAGAAATAATGACAAAAGCATAGGCATTATCTTAAATCATTGCAACAACTACATTACATTCTAAAATCTTTATTTATACTATTTCTTGGGACAATTTTTATATTTTATTTTTAATAGCATACTCACAAGTGCTTTTTACACTGGGTAATACCGTTTAATTTTTGCTGATATTTGATTATTAATTGCGAGAATCTTGAAAATGCTGTGGTTTCAAAATTTCAAATTTAAGATCTGAATACAAACAGTACTTTGCCAAAAGTGCTTGACAAAGACATATTAAATAACAATAAAAAAAAAACATTGTAACCTAATTGTGTATTGTATAGTAATCTGCTACCAAAGTTCCCACTACTGTTATGACTGGAATATTATCAAATGTGCAGTAAAAGATAATGAACATCTTTTGGATATAGTGTAGTATCAGCTGAAATTAATTTTTAGGCTGCTGTGTTGAATACAGTGATTTTTGAAAGTTTACAATTAAAAATATACGATGTGCATCAAAAGATGAAATTCTAAAAGGGATTACTTTTGCATTAATAGTCTACAAGTGACAGGCTACTGATTTTAGTATCTGTTCAGAAAGTAATCAAGTTTACTACTATCAGAAACAAGTTACTGGTATTGCCATCACTGCTGTCTCCATCACAAAGCATATCATTACCCTACATATCAAAATTGTTTCGACATGTTTCTACACAAAACTTTCATAATAATGGCAATATAATAATTTTACAATTTAAAATGATCAGCAACTGAAAGTTTTACTTTCTTGTGACAGTTGAATAAAATATAAATATTACAGAATCAGTAGTCATTGTTTTTTGAATTGATTAGTGTTCTGACCAAAAAAGGCTCATTTAAGGAACAAATATGATAAGCACAATTTGACAACTCAGTGTCAGGACTTCAAAATCTTGAAAGCAGTGTGGGGTATGTTTGGCAACTTTTAATTGGAATGGCCCATAGCCCATTCACATGCCTGGCTCTATACTTTACCTCAATAGGCCAAGTGCTCGATTGGATGTCATCATGCTGTTGGATTCTTCATTATTTTGCACCTTGCTACACATTTTATGGCAGTAAACAGAGGATTGCAGTGATCTTTGAGATCTTTCAAAATGCCCTTTTCAGTACTGAAATTTTGGCTGTTCCTTGATGCAGATTTATCTTCAAGATGTGGAACCTCACCTTTGAGATGTAATAATAAGGCATGAATGAAAGTTTATTTGCAGTAACAGTTTGGTGAAGATGGTAATTTGAGTTGAGTGTGCTTCTTAAATTTTTTTGAATTTTACTAGCATGATGTACTTTAATATTTTGTTTTGCTATACCTCACAGCTAAATACTTGGGAAACTTTGATGGTGGAAACTAAGATTTTTTGTAACAGCTAAATAGAGAATGTGAGCTGCAGCCATGTGTGTGACTAGCAATAGCTGGTGCTCCCAACAACATGTTTATTAGTACAGATTCATGTCTTCAGTTTTGCAGCAACATTATTGTTTTTACCTTTTGTGATTTTGAAACTGTTCATGCTAGTATCAATAGCTTTGTAAAGGTTAATGACTTTGCTATGCAAATAATGATATTAGACCTGGACACTTGTGCATGCCCTGCTGTTTTTCACTTTGCAGATTGTTCAAACTGCATTGTTAAAATCCAGTTGTGTAATATTTTAAAATAGATCAACAGTTTCTTCTGCAAAGAGATGTCAGTCATCAAACCTAGGTATGGTTCTTTGTTCTTGAAACAGTTGTAGTGCTGTTCTCATTACAAATGATTGAGGCTAAGTTTTGCATCTCGTAACTACAGTGCACTACTGTCTTGGACTATAGTGAAGGTGCTCCATTGTATTTTAAAGTATCAAATGAAAATATTGATATAATATTTGGATAAGAAATTTTGAACACCATGGGGGATTGGGTTTATGGTAATAAAATTAAAAAAGCCTATTATGTTGTTCATCATTTATACCAAACTAATTTCCTAAAAAAGGAAAAAAATGTTAAGAAATGGGTTTACTGTAAGATATTAATAAAATTCAGTTTAGCCAAACAAGCAGTAGTATAGTTCTTGAAGCTATCTCTACATCAGCAAAGCGGTTGTAATCATATATGAGAATTTTTTTTATAACCATTATATTGTATTAGTGCTAGATCTAGTCAAATGCCATTGAAGACAGGGTCATTGTTACAGACCTGCCTATTGCTATGTAAAATGCTCTCCAGCTTCGGTGCTACAGTAATTTTGAAATAGCTAGGGCGACTATGGGGTTGTGTGATGTACTGATTCATTCAAAGTTTTCTGTTTGCTTGAAGACCTCCTTGTACATCTGCTTGTAAGCCCTGTTGCTCTATTGTGTATGTGTGTACTTTCTACAGGAAATAAGCCATTGCAAGTCAAGCATGAGTTCCCAATGGCTGCTCTCAAGCAATTTTTCTCAAGTGAAAGAAGTGATCATGACACGAGGTGGCAGTGACAGACTTTCAGAAAGGAATACACTGAGTTGTGGCCTTGCCTCAAACCAAGTGTGAACCACATTCTATGTACTATGTGTCAGTTAGAAGGATGATATTTGTGATACCAACAAATCCCATTTTGCTACAGAAAATTGACCAGTTGATAGGCAAATGCTACTGAGAGCAAACTTTATGGGTAGGCAGGTCTGTTATGTAGAGTTTATGGTTTATGTACATAAATGAAGCACCACAATGTGTAATGGCGAACATTGTTATAAATCTATGTAAGAAAATTAATATAAATGCACAGTTATGATATTTTGAGTCTGAAATATTAATGAGTGATTGGAGAATTGATGAAAGAACAAAGATAATTGTATGTTCCACAAATACTTCATTTGATAAAGATCATGGTTTTGTCAATAAAAGCATCATCAGTTAACTATTTCAGCATGGGCTCAGTCCCTGAGTGACCTCATAACCATTTTGTGCTTGTTGTAGTTTTCATGCTATAACTTATAAATTAGAAAGCATATGTTAATGAAATTCGGCAGATTATCAATAAACCTTACAATGTTTTCATATGCTAAATATCTAATATTTTTATTAAGTCTTAAGGTTTGTAAAACAATGTTTCTCATTGCCTTTTTCTTTTCATAGCTTGCCTTCCAAGATGCAAAGTAATTTTTATTTTAGGATTAAAAATACTTTTATGCATCAGAAAATTTTCAAATTTCACTTGCAAAATCTTTATAATGTCCAAATATTTTTCAAATGTTTAAGAAAAACTTATTTTCACTAACGAATCTATGTATAGGTTCAATAGATTTGATCGATCTCGTAACCAGCATAAAAAATAAATATAAATTCTGCCTTTTTTCATTCTAGAATTACAACAAATTATAATGCGAATGACTAGTATTTTGTAAAATACAGTCACATTTCT